CAGCTGACAGGTGGATGCTAGAGCTGACTCTTGTGTGTGGATTCCTCCTGGTGGGCTCAGAGGGGATTCCTTTACGCTGCGACCATAGTTTTTATTTATAATTCTCACTAAATGTTTTTCTAAATGAAAGTTTTATAATTTGTTGCCATAGTTTATATATCAATGCTTCATCCTGTCATGAATAGATATTTCTTTCCGCTGTAATTCTGATCACATGTTTATATTCCGCTGTTAACTTAAATTGTTCATAACTCTGATAACATGTTCATATTCTGCTATTATAAATAATAAATATTATACTCTGATGTTATATGGAAAGTGATGTAAGAAATGACTAATAATGATGTAAGCTTTATTCCCTCATTTGTGATCCTGATGGAAAAATATGGATTTTGGGTTCTCTCATGGGGTGTGCTCGACGGAACCGTGTAATTTAGTGTCCTCCCTTGGATACTTAGTGTCTAATGGAAGACGAGTACTCCTGGGAGGTATTAGATTAGGCGGTTCTGCCACAGGCGAGACCGTTTAATACGTCTCGAGCCATTCGAGAAAGTCGGCGTGGGCACTAACTTTCTTGTGCCACGACTCAAGTGCGTCGGTGCCTCTCTTCAAGTACGACAGTGTCGCACCACGTAAGACAGCAAGGGTAATAGTAAAGTGGGGACTATCTTGGCTGTAAATCTGAGGATGATTGTGGTTGTTTGAGCACTTGGTAGCACATATTAGCTTAAGCATTGTGTCCCCCTTTATAGTACGGTTTTTCCTATACTCAAATTCAAGATATAAAAGAATCTTAAACCTCTTTTGAGTTTTAAGCCATCTATATTTGTAATTGGGGGCTCCTACGTTTTGTGTAGTATCCTCGAATATAAATTCTCTGCTTGTCATCTCGATAAATCTTATTAATTCTCTAATTGCGTGGTCATTATCACCAAAATCCATAATTAAGGCTTAATTGTACTTTCAAATGGCAAAGTAGCGAATCCCAGATATGAGGATGGTCAAATTCCCATTTTCCGAGCGGCGACAACCAACAGCTAGGCCGCAACGTATGGGCACGGATGAGGTCGTCAAGAGCGCCTATCCCGGACACCAGGGGAGGAGCAGCTTAGAGCTCACGTGCACCATCGAGGCCGGACATGATCTTGTTCGTGCGCTTGCCATCTCAGGCCACGAGCTCCAGCCGCTGGTCGTCGGTGATAACCACATGCGCGACCTCCTCAGCACATGGTGGACGCCGGCACCGGCGGCGCTGGGTCAGAACTACGCGCTGGTGGTGGAGGCCGGCGCCGGGCACGAGGCCATCGGAGCTCGACACGCCGGCGGCGTCCTCGTTCGCGAGCGTGGGCGACGTCAGGATTCGTAGTACAGCTGAAATTAGTTCCGAATTGCGATTGTTTATGTGTTATCTGGTTCATTTGTACAATACCAATTCTTTCTAAATATAATTGTACTGAAACACCGATTACTTTCAACCACGAGAATTTGTAAAGACCCTTGTGCCAGGCGATGTGCCTGATGGAGTGATGCTCACAATGTTAAATGGAACTACGTCCCGTTAAAAAAACTAGCCATCTACTCTCTCCGTCCTGTAATATAGTTTATTCTAGCATTCAAAATTTATCCTCAAATATAATGCATTCTAGAGGATAAAAACTAATTTGGCATTAAATACTTTTCATTTATCAACCAATCACCATTAATCATGTTAATGATAGTATCTGATTAGGAAATAAAATGAGGATAAATACGTCTTTTATGTTCTCTCTTAATTTATCTTAAAATTCTTATAATATAGTATATTATAGGACAGAGGGAGTAACTCGGGACAATTGCTTTCTAAGGCCCTGTTTGGATCGTCGAAATTCCAAAGGAATTTCAAAGGAAAGCAATTCCTCCATTTTGCTGACGTCATGCGCCGTTAGGAACAAAGGGAACAAAGGAATCATCCATGTCGTTCCTTTGAAAGAAATCCTTCCATTCACAAAACATAGGAAAAAAATCCACTCTGATCCAAAGTTTTCGTGTATGCCCGAGGTGGACGCGCCGCCTGGAGGTTAAGAAGCTGGTAGAAGCAAATGTTTTATGCCTCTTCTTACCTTTCCAAAGTGGTCAACTGCTCATCTTCATGCTTGAGCTCATGGCCATCCGTCCATGGCTGACCTAGCATCAGGCTAGCGTGTGGGAGGGAGGGGGCCCGGGTGGCTGGCAGGTCAGCGGCAGTGCTGGGTGATGTCTGCGCAAGGGGCGACGGCCGAATTTTTTGTTTTTAGCCCTTTTTTGAAATTTTTCACAAATATATCCCTGGAGGTATGCTTTCAAAATCTGGACCCTTAACTCGGCGTCATCGTTGGTGGCGCCGAGCTTACACGTCTCGGCGCCATAGATTTTTGCGCCTAGGTCTTGGGCTCGGCGCAGACGTGGCGGTGACTAGGCAGGCACTTTGGCGCCGTAGATCTTGGCGCCGAGCTTGACGCCGTGGTTATTGACGTCGTGGTTATTGGCGCCGATAACGGCACCAAGATCTATGGCACCGAGGTGATGTTTTAACCCGGCGCCCAACCTTTCTGCCCGAGCCTTCTTCCTCTTCTTTCTCCTCCTCTGGATTTTTTCTATGGCGCAAGGGTCGCCAGAGGGAGCGCCTATCTGCTGGCGACGCTTGTGAGAGACGGGATTTTGACGAGGCAACAGAAAGTCGGGAGGGCGGCGCGTGGGGGCACGGCAGTAGAGCTAGCGGCGTGGTATTGGGCATGCATGGACGGGGGGCTACGCTGGCGGTGGCGCGGCAAGTTGGCGGGCGCCCCAGCTCGGGAGCCAGTAGAGAGAAAGGAAGAGAGGGCCCATATGTAAGACAGGGCTTGGCGCCAATAACCACGGCGCTGAGCTCGACGCCAAGATCTACGACGTCAAGCTCGGCGCCAAGGTGCCTGTCAAATCACCGCCACGTCTGCGCCGAGTCCAAGACCTAGACGCCAAAATCTATGACGCCGAGACGTGTAAACTCTAAGTCCAAATTTTAAAAACATACCTTCAGAGCATATTTGTGAAAAAATTTCAAAAAAAAAAGGTCACAGGAAATTCGGGGGCGACGGCGGTGGCTGCTTGCCTGCGTCGGCCTCGGCGTCGCAACCAAGAGAGAGAGAGACTACGAGACTTTAGTTGTTATATCTGTCCATGCACGATCGATTGGCCGCTGCCCGTGGGCAGGCCCCACATGTAAGTAAGAGCGTGAGGAGATAAACGACCAATGCCATCACGGTGATCGCATAGAGGATTCCCGTATGAACTTTCATTTATTTGAATAATATAAAACAAGTATTCGTCTCTTTTAATCATACCTCATGTTTTGAAAATCCTTAGTTACAGTTCCTAAGATCCAAGCAACCCAATCTATACTTTCCTGTTTTTCCATTCCTCTGATTTCTTAAAACACCTATATCCTGTTCCTACATTTTTTTTTCTTTTCTCCGTTTTACATTCCTTTGTTCAAAGGTCCACATACGCACCATTACAGCCAACAAGAGCGCCAGCAGATCATTATACAGCAGCAAAACTGACTTTTGAGAAGAAAAAAATGTATAACTAGCATTAAATCAGATAATATAGTTACGCTCCAGATTTGAGAGACCCATCTCAGAAAATGTCGACACAGCACAAGCAGTAACTTTTTTACAGCGATAACAGTTGCGGTGACAAACCAGAGGGTGAAACAAAGTCTTAATAGGAAAACACGACGCAGTCATACTGCCAGGACCCCACCAAGAACACTTTGTCACCTCCCCGTCCTTATGTCAAAGACAAGATATGTCCATACAGCTGCTTCTAAAATAGCTCATCTTCATCCAAAAAATCAAAAATCAAACTCACCTGCTGCCTGCAAATTCAATTTATCGAATCCATGTCAGCAATGCAACAAGCGTACCACACTGAAGCAGTCGTGCGTCACAACACATTTTTGAGGCCAACATTGCTGAGTTGTCAAGTCCATGATAAATTAACTACAAAGTTTGCACAATAGTTGACTTATGGCCTTACAGCCGATTTGGAAGTTTTTTAAAGGAATAAAGGTGCAGAAAAACATAACATTTCCCTTCTGGTAATGAATGAATTACATGCTGTAACAAGCCAGGAAAAGCATCAGTATCTTCCAACTACCTACCTAGTCTTCTGTGCCAGAATCACAATTTAAGATGATTATTATGTGGTCAATTAGCTTGAAATTAGCTGCCTCTATCCTCTAATATAATATAATATAATATTCCAAACACGTTAAGGGATTTAGCTATTATTTATGGTAAAAAACAGAATAAAATTTGAGGCTCAGTTAATATTCACAAACTCGACCAAAAAAGATTATGTTACCACCTTGTTAAATAGAACATCCCTGCCATTCAAATGCATGATTCCATCCTTCAAAGTGCACTTCCAACGATTCTTGGTCCTTGTCACCTATTAATCATTGAAGAGGATGTAAGACAAAGTGGACTGAAACTAGAGGGAAAACCTAAGCATCAACAACAACAACATAACCTTTCAGTTCCAAGCAAGTTGGGGTAGGCTAAGCATGGATAGCAAATATTAACTTAAACTTAAACAAAGTGCACCTACTTTGTCAAATTGTGCAAGTACAAGATGTTGCGTGTTAGGTTCATCCTCCCCTTGCTCAAGGTCATCTAACTCGTCGTCGTCGTCATCGTCTTCATTAAGAGGAGGTTCATCATCATCATCATCATCATCTCCAGCATCGTTTCTTTGTTTTGGTGTTCCAACAGCAGGTGTAGGAGCTCGATACTCCGCTAATAAACATAACAAAAATATGTATAAGATAAGTAACATAAAATAATGAATCAGCAATAAACATAAAATTGCTTAGTTTGATGACAATTTACCAGATTCTCCAGGGGTATTATAATCTTCAGTTGGAACTCCTTGAAAGAAAAATTGCTGGAAAAAATATCACAGTAAGTTTGTACTGAAATATCTATGTGAAACCATTAGTTTTAGAATAATACATCATTGTAGTCATCTTGAATCCCATCACACTGCGGAATAACTGGAGTGATTGTCTTGGTGGGTGTTTCAAGCTTGTTGATGATGGAACTCCAAAGTTGGTTTGCATTTTCCTAAACACGGATTAACAGAACTGAGGACTTAACACACAAGATATTGAACATTAAAAAAAAATCATAAACAGAGGAATACTACATAAATCAATTAGATGGAAAAAATTAGGTCATTCTAGTTGGACATACTCAATATATTCATTTTGATAGAAACGTATTCTCAGCTTACAAAATGAATGATTTAGTTACTTCTCCAGAGGATCCGACCGTTAAATATAAAGAGGATGCACACTGCACCAGAAGTACAAGCTTTAAAATTGTATGTGTGTCTAAATTGGCTATACATGACAGGAACAGATTTGAGGGAGCAGTCAACTACTTAATTGCACAACAAAAGCATACAAGGTCTAAGCAGACTCAGGAAGCTAGGCTAGCTCAGTTGGTCAAGGGGTGGATCCATACCCACACCACCCAGGTTCAAGTCCTCGTCGAGGCTTTGGGTGCCTATTTTCTTCTTAATGGAATGCCCCACCTAGTTCCTCCAAGGTTGGTCTAGTTTTTTTTAAACAATACTAACTCCATTAGACCATACCAGGTATCTAATAGCTACTAGTTGTGTCTTGTTGTACTCACACATCACAAATACCGTGTTTAAGTATGGCATGCCATGGCTTTAGTGTGCAAACTATGGGGAAAAAACATGAATGTATGATTGGTGGGTCAGATGCAAAAGAAAGTGTGGAACACCAAAGTTACTTGCATAAAACAAAAACTAGACATATTCCATCCTAATAAAAACAAAAACTAGACATACTCCATCCTAAATAAGGCATGGCTGTGAACCGAAGACTCGTTTCATTGTAAACTGGAGGATGAGGAACGAATCCTCAAACTGTGCAACCAGTCCTAGCATAGCACTAAATAACTCAAGGAAGCAAAAACATATTTGAAGTAATGTATCAAGGAAAAGTAATGCCAGACAATGAATTGAGTTTATCACTGATATAGTTACCTTTGACACAACAAATTCTACTATCTGATCAGCACTTCCATCTTGCTGTGGTACAAAAGAACCAGAAGGGAGCTGACCAGGATACTCATCCCTCTTGCGTTTTCCAGAAGACATCATCAAAAAATCCTACAAAAACGAACGAACCAAAATGAAACTGCAACAATCAGGACTCAATATAACAATGCAAATGGATTAGTTATCTTGGACGAGAAATACAGGTAAAATGAGTTCAAACCTATTGCCGAACTGCTAATGCCTAATGGTTTCTGCACCGCCCCAGGTTAAACTAGTTGAACTCCACACAAGAGAGTTCATGCTGAAGATATGCTAAACGCCTAAACCTCATAACTAAATGATACATTAATTAATTATATGAGACATAGATTTGAGAACATAAAACCAAAGAAGCAAACATGAGAACTTCCAGTTTAACTCTAAATAAAATGCTACAAAATATGTCTACCAAGAAACACCATGCAGCATTATTACAAGTAAACAGTGCTTGAAATCCAACGATAGACCATGAGTACCACCAGCGCATATAATGCTACCAGAACAAACTGAACTAATTAATCCTGCTGGCATATTTATTCTGAAGTTTCCATAAACATCACACACTTTTAATCACTTCCACTAAACACTTTTGAACAACTTGTTGGAAGGAAGCGGACTTTTCAAGCTGACTGTTTCTTCATTCAATCCGAAATTCAAATATACATGGTATCATCGAAAGAGAAACACTACTTGTGATATACACATTATAGATGAAGTAAATTTTTTTTATCAAACATGTAGGAGAGTTGTGTATCTTTGTATTAAGAATGGTAAAGAACCCTTGTAAGACACCCGAAACACACACTTACACAAACACACACCCAGGTCCTAACATATCATTCCCGTTACATGAAGTAATTGTTTAAACAAAATTTGAGAACAAGATTCTCAGTGTGTTTCCCATCACCAATTATTATTATAAATAAAAGTTTGTAAAATCATAACAAATATCTCAGTATCCTAAAATTAACAAACCCAATCAATACTAAAATTAACGAACAGGCTAATATTATTAGCAAAAGGGGCAGTAACCAACTTTCTACTCTGGAAACATTCTATTTATCCACAATCACATTCTGATTGACAATATCATCAGGGAGCAATGTTCTACAGAAATAAATGAGAGCCCAAAACAAATAACAGATGGAATCCCCAATACAACATTACTGATTATCCATGCTCTCAAATGATATGCAATCTCATATTTTACCTGAGTCAGTGGCAGAGGCTGCACGCCCCTGTCAGGATCTTCACGGCCTTCCACATAAGCTGTACATTATGAGTCACGCAAATCGTTTTAGTTATTGTTTTCCCAAATGATATTACCTCCAAATAGAATAAACTAGGAATGCAGTTTGCACGTGGAGTCATGGACAACAAACAGAGGACATAAGCATGCACATACCGACATTCACATCAACACCCAGAGGCCTCTGATTCATCCATGGGGAAGGTGGTGGCTGCAAAAACTTCTAAACATGACAAACGGCTCGCAAAAAAAAAAAGGGTAAAAACTAGTCACACATAACAGCACAGTACAAATTCACAATACCATGTGGGGACTTGGACGGCCAGCTTTTGGGTCTGCCCCATTTATCGCCATCCCGTTCCTGATATCACTGATCGGTGATGGGGCATAATCGGAAGGGCCGGTGGGTATGTTGTACATCGCTGAGTCTGTCCCTGGCAGAGGAGTCTGGATTGGGGTCTGCAATGGTGTCTGAAAACAAATACAAGTAACTCATTCAGAACCTCGCGTCCCAATTGTGTAGATCGGGAAAAAATTTACGGTGCAGCAGACGAGGGATTCGGTCTCACCGGCGGGAACAACATGTCAGCGGTCGGGGTGGCGTACTCCTCGGATGTGGCCTCGTACGGCACGTTGAGGTCGTGCACGGGCGGTGTCGTGCCGGTGGTGCCTCCGGCGGACGCGGCAGCCGCCTTGGTTCGGTCTATGTTCCCCGAGATCGCGCCACAGTGCAGCATTTTCATCTCCCAGAGCTAGGGTTTCCTCGGCCGGATCGGAGAGACAACCGTCAAAATCGCTGAAATCAAGAAAAATTGAAGGGGACGAAAGCTGGGGATCGATAAATCAGAGGTTCTTACAGCCTGGAGCTCGTTTAGGACGGCGTCGCCGACTCCGTAGGTGATGAAATCCTCGCGGACCTTGGAGATGACGTCATCAATGACAGAGATGTAGACGGTGGAGACGTTGCTGCTCGCCATGACGGCGGCGGCGGCGGCTAGGGTTTCGGCGGCCGGAGGGGAGGAGAGGAGAGGCTTCGGCGGAGGAGGGACGGGGGATGCGGAGGAGCGGAGGCGGACGAGAAAGATGGGGAATTAAGGAGAGAATATAAATAGGTTTGCATCCGGTGTCGTCACGTGGCCGGGGTATTTGTAGCCCACCGCCGACCACTGACTCCCTTGCTACTACCGCCTCCGAGAGGACCCAGGGAGAAATTTGGGTTTGGGTAGGCCTGCTAACGGGGCGGGGCGAAACTGGGTTTTTGGGCGGGTCTCTGCACCTAAAAAATACCAATGGGTATATATGCGTCTAAGGCTATCTTCAACAACATTACCCAAAATATACAAGACATATTTCACGTTTGGGTAGCACTGTAGGTAAAGGGTTCCGTATCTATTTTTATCTTCTCCAACAACAGGACCTAAAAGAGAACCATTTCTACAAATGAGTCTTCATGAGAGAGGATACTCATATTTGGGTTACACCTTTGCTATAACCTAAAATGAGTCTCGCATATAGGTGCTCTGTTGGAGCGATATAGTACCATTCGAGACCTATTTTAGGTATGGGTGCCCATATGGGACAACCATTGGAGACAGTCTAAGGATCACCTCGCCCCGCTCCTGAGTGTCGCCCCGCTTGGACGGAGTCCACATCGACTATGGATCCTGTAGGAGATCACACATAGGTAGCACCAACACTTGCATAACGTCTGCCGGTTGCAACGTGCGCACATGCATATGTTGCATGATGCATGCCCACATACAATACGGTCTCATTTCACGAACGTACTAGCCTATATAATCAAGAGATCAAGTTTGGCCCTGAAAAAACTTCTCTTGAGCGACTACAGTGTCAAGCCCGATCAGCACTCGTGTCGCCTGTACTTAAATCCAAAAGCGTTTTTATAGAGTTCTATAGGAGGTAGTTGATAAACAGGCACGTTAGGCTCGTGTACTACACACCTCATCGTTTGGCACCCATTGGCCCGCATAAGGTCGCAATCGCATGCCTCCATGGCGGTGGCCAGAGACGCCGAAGACGAGGAATTGACCAGAGACGCCGTCAAAGACGAGGAGGTGGTGGATGGAGACGTCGTTAACGACGTTAACGACGGTGCAGAGGATGATGAAGAGAAGGTGTGACATATGTATTGGTAACTATCAGCGATGTTGAAGTCATAGAGCGAGACGACAGCGAGGGCAAGCAAGACGTGAGGACCGGCGTGGCAACGGCAACGGAAATCATCCGTGACAATGAGGAGTACCCTTGCGGAGCTTCAATCATGGCCACGAGGGCGTATACGAACGCAATTGACGAAGAAAAACCAAATCCAAAAAAGAAAATAAATTAGAAAATGAAAATATGGAACAATCTTCGGTAACTGGCACTCCAAGCGGAAAAAGAGAACATGGATGTAGAGAGTAGAGGAAAAGATAACATGGTTCCATATAAAAAAAGATAAAAATAGTAAATGTCTCAATAAATTTAAAAATAGTTTAGATCCCCAATATAAATTTATGTATTAGTTTTATATTTTTTTGAAAAAAATTAAATTTGCATTGTAGATGCGCGTGAGTCAAACTGTGGCTCCCGTGCGACGTACCAGTGTATATCTATCTAGTGACTAGTGAAGTGTGTATAGCTGGGTGAAAACGGGTTTTTCTATCTTGTGGGTCGGGGCGTGTTGGGTTCACAGGGAAAGCGGGTTGGGACTTTCCCGTCCTCTCCATCTCCCGTGCTCGCCCTAGTCCGTGACTGCTGTCGGTTGGGGAAGGAGAAGACGGCCGCCGCCAGCCCGCCGCTGTCGTCGCCGACGCCTCCGCTCCAGCGTGTCCTCCTCCAACGCCGAGAGCAGATCCAGGTGCCCCTCCTCCAGATGCGCTCCCCCATCTTCTCCTTCGCGTCATCTCTTTCTCCTTCCCCTTCTCTTTCTGCTTCTTGATACGATTCATCAATTCGATTGCAGGCAGCGTCCCCTTTCCCTTCCCCATCGGCGGCACCCGGAGCCGCAAGCAGGAGAGGAGGAGGCGCTGAAGCGGGAAGGCAGGAGCGCCGGATAAAAACAGGTAGTCTCTGGGTGAAGGCAGGAGCCGCCCGCCGCCAACGCGCCCTTACCGTGTCCTCCCTGGACCCTGAAGTAGTCTCCTCCGGTCCTCACGCAATTCGTTTTTGGCTTGGTAGCTGTAGCACAGAGACTCCGTTCGTCTTCCCTGCTGCAATGTTTTTGGGTGAAGTATAACAACAAGTGACTTCTCAACAAGCTCATTCTTGGATTGGATTTTTATTAGAAAGTTTAATTTGGATAGAGTGATCTGATATTTTCTGTAGGAGTTTAATTAGAAAGTTTAAAGCTTGCAGAATTCACCTTTACCTTTTAGTATTGAAACAATTTCTTGCTCTAGAACAGAGCGTCTGAGTTAGTTGCAAGTTATTTTGTTGTGTATCAACTATCAAGATCCTTCTCTAAGTTTCAGTTTCAGGAGGGATCCCCACATGCCAAACACTACATCTGGACTGGAGTTTCAGATTATAGTGATATCGAGATTGGCATAGTTTTTGGTGTTTATTTAGCTGCAGCTGCTCCACACACTTTCAGTTGTGATTCTGCTGTACTGCCTTTCCAAATTCAGCAGAGTTAACAGTGATGCACTCAACCTAAAATAACATCACTGAAAAAAAATATGTATCTCACTGTCCATGGATACAAACGAACTGACACATCACTGGAATTATGTATCTCATTGACACATCACTGAAATTTGCTTCTCTAAACTATTGTTTTGGTTTCAGATTGGTCTCCAGAAAGGTTCTAAATCTTTTCAAGAAGCTCGAGCAGCGAGATTCACTAAGCTAGTGGGACACTAGGTGATAAATGGGAGACTGAATCTAGAAGTGATAGAAGTACAGTTCAGTGAGTTCAGTCACCACAAGAGAGAATGGGTTAGTACCTGACTAAAATTATATTGTCACTATTATTCGGCCCGGCTTATTTTGGTTCAGGGAAACAAACACACGAGGTTGCACCACAGCAGCCGTGCTCGAGCTGTGGCCAGAGCCAGGCCAGATGTTGGGTAGAACCAGGATTCCAAACAGCCAAGTGTTGCTCCATCTCCCTTCTCCGTTTTGAAGAAAGAATGAAATTTCAAAAAAAATCAAACATTAAATTTAATTAAATATATAAAAGCATAACAATATTTTCTGTTTAGAAGCGAAATGAGGAGACTGAAACATCTGAATGTTTTCATGTGGAGAACACACGTATGGTCTTCAAAGTTCTCTGATTGCTTTCTCTATGTACCTTGTACTTATGGTATCCAATTGATGATTGTCTAGTGCAGCAGTATTCTATTTTCTTTAACTATGCCATCTGAATATTGGTACTAGTTATGCTTGAGTCTGCACTCTAGTGTTTAGTCACTGAGAAGCAGCATGAAGAGGTCTTGTAATCTGAAGATATCATCTGATGTTGATACATACATTCATGGTCTTCAAAGTTCTCTGATTGCTTCCTTTACCTACATCTTCTTATCTAAAATGATTCTGGGTGACTGGGTTATGTTCAGTTTCTTTTCTCCCTGAAGCTGTAGTTTTAGATTATCAATTAATAAGAGTTATGAAGTTTTATGTCAAGAAGCAAAATGAAGAGGTCATATGATCTGAAGTGATGTTGATACACCCATCCATGGTCTTCAAAGTTCTGTGATTGCTTTCTTTACACATTCTAGATCATCTTTATTGAAATCATGCTTAAATTGTGGCCATCTTTAAAAAAACGTGTATCCTATAGGTTTATGATTTTTTCTTAATTATGCTTGAGCACAGTTTTAGTCTTTAAGATGTCAAAAGAAACAAAATGAGGAGGCTAAATGATCTGAAGTATCTGATGTTGATACATCAATTCATGGTCTTCAAAGTTCTCTGATTGCTTCTTGTACCGACATGCTAGATTGTCTTTATTGTAATTGTACTTGAACTGTGTCCATCTTAAAAAATATTGTGTATCCTAGCTTTATAGTGTTTCTTAATTATGCTTGAGCAAAGTTTTAGTGTTTAAGATGTCAAAAGAAGCAAACTGATGAGGTTATATGTTCCTAAGTACAGATGTTGATACATCAATTCATGGTCTTCAAAGTTCTCTGATTGTTTCCTGTGTCATATTTCCATCTAAGATTTTGCAATTTATGCCTTTCAGCTTGGTGCGCTATATTACTATGAAACTGGTTCAATTTGAACTCTGCAACTATAAAAGTCTGGTTTTCACTATCCCACTCCAATATCCATATTTAAAACCCCCTCCCATGCCAAACATTCTATAACCTCAAGCTTTTCAAAACCATTCACTTTCATCTTTTATCTGGTTTAGTGTGCATTTTTCACCACGTGGGGGGCCATGTCACCTGTTTTAGACTTTTAGCTGGCATATTAGACTAGTCAACAACAGTAGAAAATAAAGCAAAAATGAATTTTGGATTCCATTTGCCCCCACACACACAAATATCAGCTTCCTTGTGCTCTCTGTCAATCTATTCTTCTGCAAATTTTATCTACTCTATCGCCTCTGTGGCTGGGACTACGAGGCATCAGCTTTGACTGAGCTTCGCCATTTTCTTCTCCTTCATCACCACCATCGTTGGCCCCTACACTTTCCCCCAAAAAACTTGGCTTTCCTTCTCCCTCACCACCATCTCCAGATCGGACCAGGACAAATGCTCTTAGAATGACTAACAGCACATGATTCTCAAGATCCACAGATCACAAAACTTAACAGCTCATTCTCTTCATCTCTTGCAACACAAGCTAGTGCTTCTTCTCAGTTTGTATGCTCAAACCCCCTCACAGAGGCTCATGTCCTATCCTGGACAGCCTTACACCTGTAATCTGTGAGACCATAACTCTCGTAAGTGTAAAATGTTCTTAATTTAATGCATTCCGCTTCTTATTAAAAAAAGAGAGGGTGAGGCATGCCAGGCAGGCATGTGCCACATGAGAGCATCTGCAGAGATGGTGTCGGCAGCCACACACGCACTGGTGGCACGGCACGAGTTGGAAAAAGGAAGCCGGCCAAGCTCCAGCAGTGACTGCCAAGTGATCTCGAGCGACTGGGAGTGGATGGCCATGGTGAAGACCTCATCACCATGACGCCACCACATCCCTTGTATCGTTCCACTTTTACTTGCCCACCACTTCTCAACTCTGACTGACCCAACTCCTTATGATTTCATCAGGAAGAAGAGCCCCTTGCCAGATTGGTTAAGAAGGACATGGGAGTTAGGAAGCAGGAGGATTCTGTTCACGCTCAATCTGGAGGAAGAAGCTCCACTGGAGAACATTGACGTCATGAAGCTGCACTCAACAGGGCACGGGGTGAATGGGGAAGAAGCCCCACCGGAGAACAGCAAGGTGATGAAACTGGGCCTTCTAGGGAGAGGAGAGGTGGTGAATGGGTGAGAAGAGGAAGAAGACTGGCTAAGGGGTTACTTCGGGCCACTCAGCGAAGCAACTGAGCCTTGGTTAGGACTTTAGGACCAAAGGGCGAGGGGTGCAAATTGGATGGTTTTGATTGTTAAACATTGTATGTTGTCTGGTAGAATACTAGAGTGAAAATCAGACTCTTGCAATACTTCGGCCTTCGGGGCCTAAAATAGACTTCTTCTTTTTTATTTTTGCCATACCTTTTGCACTTGAGTTCTTTATGAATCAACATGTTGGCTTACTTACCTGATGCATCCGTTTGTCTCAAGCAGATTTGTTCTTTGTTGACGTGTCATGTGAACAGGGAACGGATTGTTGTGCTCCATTTCGTGTGTACTGTTCTAGAATGGCCTTGTATGGTCATTGTCATTCTTGACTATCAGTATTTTGGGTAAATGACTGATATAGCGAACAGATTTGTTTGTAGATTTGAAAAAAAAAGTAAATATCTAGCTACTAGTGAACAGCGAAATCATCTATATTTGGGAATTGATGACAGTTTTTGCAGCAGATTAAAGGAATGTTTTTTGTGTCGATTTGTTGCTTGTTCTGCATGAGCACATCACAGCACTGACATCACCAAATTATGATGTATTGCTGCTTATCACACTTTCAGGTGTAAACTTAGAGGTTTTGGGTTTCTTGTTAAGTATGAAACACTTACATCACACCAAACACTCTAAAGTAAGACATCTTAGGCTTGTTACTGGTTAGAAGCTCATATAAAGTTTTCTTCAACTTCTTGTGTAGGTAGAGGCAGATGATGGCATGGCAAGCGGTGTTGATGGCCTCACACCAAAAGATATCTGATGTCTTGTACTCATCTAGCATTGTCTTTACCATGTCAATGAGTGTACGATTCTTTCTCTCTACTACACCATTTTGTTGAGGGGTGTATGGAGTTGAAAACTCATGCTTGATGTCCTCTTCATCAAGAAATTCCTCAACTAGAGTATTCTTGAATTCGGTCCCATTGTCGCTTCTCACTTTCTTGATGGGAAGACCAAACTCCTTTTGAGCTCTTCTAACAAATATCTTCACCTTCTCTTGAACTTGGCACTTGTCATGCAAGAAAAATACCCAAGTGAAATAGGAATAGTCATCAACAATAACAAGACCATATTTGTTACCCCCGATACTTAGGTAGGTGACCGGCCCAACAAGATCCATATGTATTAACTCCAATGGTTGCTTGGTGGTCATGATGCTCTTTGGTGGGTGAGGTACGCTAACTTGCTTTCTGGCTTGACAAGCGCTATAAATCCTATCTATCTCAAAGTGAACATTTATTAGTCCAAGGATGTGTTCATTTTTTAGAAGTTCGGCCAAGTTCCTCATCCCAACATGGGCTAGTCGGCGATGCCAATGCCAACCCATGCAAGATTTTGCCACTAAACAAGTCTCAAGCTTAGCTTTACTTTTGTTGAAATCAACTAAGTAAAGCTTGTTCTTTAATTGACCCATAAAGACAACAGAGCAATCCTCTCTTCTAAAGACTTCCACACCCTTATCCGAAAAGAGACAATTGTAGCTAATCTCACACAATTGAGAAACGGATAACAGATTGCAACTCAACGAATCAACCTGTAATACATTTGTAATTGAATGCTCAAGGGTTATAGCAACTTTACCGAGACCAATCACATCCCCCTTTGAATTATCTCCAAAGATAATATTTTCATTTGAGTGCGTCATCACGGAATATGATGAGAACATACTCCTTTCTCCGGTCATATGATTTGCACATCCACTATCAAGCACTCAACTTGATCCACCGGAGAAGTATGCCTACAAAACAAGTTTAGTTGCTAGATTTAGGTCCATAATTTGACTTGAGGCCTTGCATGTTAGTTACAAGAATCTTAGGAACCCAAATATAAGTATTCCTATATATGTTGGTTTCTTTCCAACATATTTTGCAACCAATTTTCCACTGCTGTTGTTCCTCAAAACAAAGCATGATGTCATGCTTTGTCGAGGTGCATAAGTCTTTGGTTGATCGGCATACTTATTCTTGGTGGCCCACTCTAGTTTTTTAGGCTTCTGAAAAACCTGTTTCTCCTGGTACACATTCTTCTTGGGCTTAATTTGATCAGGAACAGAATTGGTAGCCTTTCCATTTTTGCGGGGAGCGGCACCGCCGCCCTTTACTGTGGCACTGCTGCTCGAGGACGCTGCACTGTCGTGGTCTGTGCAGGCTAATATGTACCAATTTTGCCCTTCCTCTCAAACTGCACACAATCATAGCCATTCACTATCCTTCTTCCATTTGTCTTGGCTCCTTTTGTGTGTCCAAGCCCATGCTTGAATGAGAGATGTCTTCCTTGCTTGAATTGTGGCTCTTTTGATTCATCAACCTTCTTGTCATTGGATTGGGTCACACTTATCCACCCTTTTCCAATGACTTTATTGATCCTAGCAATCTCCTTTCTCATAGCTTCCATGTCTGCAAGGTTAGTGGAATAGACATTCAAATCAAGATTAAAACATTTTCCACAATCTTGACTACTAGAGGGAGTAGAGGTTTTCTTTGTCTTAGGAAGATATGAGTTGCTATCCCAAAGAATGTCATATTGCATCTCAAGTTCTTTGTGCTTTTCATTCAAGTCATAATATTTTTTCTTGAGAGCTTTATTTTCTTTCTTTGTAATAGCATGGTCCTCTTGCTCTTTGGCCAAAACCTTGCACAAGGATTCCACCTCATTTCTCTCTAATGAAAGAGCTTCTTTGCTAGCAATGTAGAGATTCTCTTGTTGGATAAGAGTCTCTTCTCTAGATTCTAGCTCGGCTTGGACACTCTCTAAATCCTCCATTAGCTTAGTGATGAATAATTTGGTTTTTCCATCTAAATTTTTAGTTATCATGTTTATTTTTTCATCACTAGAGCCATCACTAATATCACTACTAGAGATATCACTAGGAGGTGAAGGAGATTTGGCCTTCGATTTGGATTTTACCTTCTCACGCTTTGCCATGAGACAAATGTGAGGGGAGTAGTAGTCATCGTCGGATATGTTGTTGAAGAGCCTTAGTGTAGGGGATGACTTATGAATAGCAATTGTTGCAACCTTCTCATCCTCCTTACTTGTGCTCTCTCTAGTTGAGTCCCATTCATGCCCAATATGAGCCTCTCCCATATACTTCTTGCTCTTTCTACGGTCGGCCTTCTCCTCTTTCTTGTCATTCTTGTATTTGTTGTCCTTGATCTCATATGGACACTTGGCAATGAAGTGATTAGTGCTACCACAATTGTAGCATGTCCTATTTTTCTTGTTTGGAAAGTTTCTCTTCACTACCTTGTAGCCTTGCTTATTTAGCCCCTTGTGAAACCTCTTCATAAAGAGAGCAACATCATCAACCTTCTCATATTGATCATCATCATTTTCACTTTCACTTGAAGATGATGGGTTTCTACTCTTTCTTGGACTTGCTTGATTGCTTTGGGCTTGCTTGTTGATCTTGGACTTGCTTGTAGAGCCTTGTTTACTTGATTTGTTGGCCTTGAGAGCTACATCCTTGATCTTGATGCCTTCTAGCTTTGCTTGCAATTCACCAAGCTTCTTTCTCTCATTTGCTTCTTCTTTTTGCATGTCAAAGGTCAAGATCCTCCCAAGTACATCATTTGGTGTGAAGCACTCAAACTTCTTCTTGTCTCTAATTAGAGTCACTACGGTCTCATTTCTAGGTGAATAAGACTCCAACATAATATTGACCACTTTATGATCATCTAGCTCATCACAACCATAACCTCTAATCTTACCCACCATTGTCATCAACCTATCAAACATCTCTTGTGGCCCCTCTCCATCCAAGATTATAAACCGGTTTGAGCTTTGACATCAACAAATCAATTCTTGCCTTTCTCACTTTGTCAACCCCTTCATGTGCTAGGTGCCTAGGTGCAAAGTATCCCATATTTGCTTGGCAACATCAACCCTAATCACTCTATTGTACTCATCATCATCCAAAGTGCTAAGCAACACACTTGTGGCTTGACCATTGAGGTGAATGATTCTCATCTCTTCTAGTGTTGGATTCTTGGAATCAACCGGTGGCTCAAATCCATTGTAAACAATCTCCCAAATGTCGGGGTGAAGACCTATAAGATAGGCTCTCATCAAGTGCTTCCACTTGGCAAAGTTAGCCCCATTGAAATGGGGTAGCTTGCCCACGGGCACATTGATGGAAGACCTCTGGTCATGGTTAGTTATAGGTATAGAAGAGTAGTTAAAGGATACGGCGGATTATTTGTTGTTGTTGCCTTTGCCCTTTCCACTCTTCTCCTTCTTGTCCCCCTTCAACACTTGGTAGGACTCATCATCATCTCCATCTTCGGAACTACTTGATGATGCATTTGTTGCCTTCTCTTCTTCTTCCTTCTTCTTCCTAGCTTTTCTCCTTCCTCTTCTTGCTTCTCTTATGAGCTTTCTTTCTTCTTTTCTTTGCTTCTTGTCTTATAACCGCTGCTGCTCTTTCTTCCTCTCTCTCTTGCTTCTCTTTTGAGCTTTCTTGCCTCCTTCCTTCTTCTTCTCTCATTGTCATTGAGAGCTCTTTCGGCATCGGTAGCCTCAAGATGTGGTAGTGTGGTGTTGCTTGCTGTTGATGCGCTCAACTCACTGATGTCGATGTCGACATCCACCGGCTTCATGCCACTAGTTCTTCCTCCGAGCTCCATACCTCACGCGGTGAAGCGCATACGAGGTAACTTGCTTCAATACCACTTGTAGGATCTCTGGTTAGCCTAGAGGGGGGTGAATAGGCCTACCAAAACAAATACTTAAACTTTCATCAAATTCAACCTATGGTACTGCCGCTCTGACCACGAGGCATTGTCGGACAGCGGCACTACCGAGCCAGAACAGTGGCACTGCCGCACTTGTAGACAACGTCGAGTCATAGTTCAAAATCAGTGAATGTAAACTTAAATCGGAGAAATTTCTTAGCTTCCTGCAGGTATGAGATTCATAGATCAAGAG